TAGGCCTTACTTTATACAAGGCCTCACTACATCTTAAACTATAATTAGGCTTTTAGCAACAACTTATAGCTTAATATCCAAACAAATACAGAAAAACACTTGGTCTAATCTTTATAGAGCCTTCAGCAAGCACTTTTATCACACAGACATACTTTTCACCTGCCACAATCGTGTGTGTGTGTGTGTGTGTGTGTGTGTTTTATAGTATAGTATGACAACCTATGACAAATTTTTCAGATGTAAGAATGTGGGCAAGGAGATGAACTTAGTAGAAACCAAAAGCATTTACCTAGCTGTCTGTCTTCGTGAATTCCACTTTCCAAGGGACAGCTGTAAAAAAATCCCAGTAAAAATTCATGATCTGAGCCTTTTTCCTTTTTAATTTATTGGGAAGGAGGTTCAGACTTCAAATCCTGCTAATTTCCACAGAGGCTAAGAATTGGTTAAACAATGGAAACAAACTAGCATCTCATTTGGACTCCTTCCCTCCAGAACAGAGTTGAATGAGATGGGCAGCACAGTCTAGCAACATTTTTACTGCTTCTTCCTATGTGTATAATTAGAAGTCAATCCAGCAACAAAGAGAAACATATACTTATTTTTTCAGCTCATGATTATATCAAGCAGGAAGTTCTAGATCAGGAGCTAGCAGTCTCTTTCAAGAATGGGCTGAAACAACCTGGCCCCAGTCTGGCATGCACTAGGTGGCTTCAGCAGCACATGAGCAGTTGCAAGGGAGGCCTTATCCAGAGCCAAATGCTGGGAGCTGCACCACCAACAGCACTTCTCCCAGGTTGTGGGGTGAATGCAGCTTCCAGCCAGAGGGAAGCTGCATCGGAGAAGTGGATCTGGAAACTGCTTCCATGGTGCTGCTGCTTTTCCCTGCCCTCCCAAGCAGCTCAGCCCTATTGCAGCTCTGCTCAGTCTGGAAGTTGCGCTCACGCTGCAGCCTTTGAGGAGGTGGGACAAGGGAAGGGGTAGGTGGACACAAGCGGCAGCAGCATGGGAACAGCTTCCAGCTCCAGCACACCTCTCCTTTAGCTGGAAGCCATGCCCACACTGCAGACTCCTAGAAGCGGGAGACAGAAGTGGCAGCAGTGTGGGAAGATTCCAGCTCCCCAGCCCTGATGCAGCTCCTTGCTTGTTAACTCCCACATAGACAAAGTCCTGCTGCTCTGTGGGCTGGATCCAGTGGCTGCAAAGGCCAGATCTAGTACACGAGCCATATGTTGCCAGCTCCTGTTCTAGGTGAGCTTCTGTTGAGCAGAAGCTTATGAGAGAATTATTTAGTTTTGGCTTTTGATGAAAACAATATGTCTGTACAAGCACACAGTTACAGTTGGTTTTAATAATTTTAGAAATAAGGTTTCATTCACAGTATTACATACTAACAGACAATATTTGAAAGTTTTGAAAATACCAGCTTCATGCTGACAATGTAAAGGTACATTATTTAATCAAAGTGCTTTGTATGTGTTGGGTAAAAACCTTCACCTTAATCATTAAAAAAATATTTCAACCGCTATCATTTCAAGAGACTTCCAGGAATTTTCCACATAACGTGTTCATAATTTCTTTTAGAAATGGAAAGTAGCAGGTGGGCAGGAGTTTCTGCTGCTCACTAAAGATCTTTGATTATTATAATGAATCAAATATAAAAAAATACAAACTTAAAAACAGAGCCTAGGGAAACAGAGCCTTGTGCCCTAATTTATCTTCAGTTCTTTCTAAAGGGTGTTTCTTTGACAGATACCACTATTTTTGCAAGACTTGCCTTTACTTGATGTGCAAATTGACAATTCACAATTTTATTTTACAAATATACATTTGATCAAAAAAGTGCAGAGAAAAACTTATGTCCCTGTTAAGGAGCTTGTTTTCTGTGTCAAATCATTTGTTGCCTTCTGTGAATGCATGTTTTATAAAAAAGTTCCAGGCCATGACACGATAGTAAGAGTAATTTTTCCTTTCAGTTCTTTGAGCATCCTTGCCAAACAGGCATGCATCATTCCTGATGTACTTCTTCCATTGACAGCAAGTAGGATATCACCACATCTGGAAAATTAAAGATGGGGATGGGATGTTAGTCGTAACACTCAAGAAGTGTTTATGAGATCAAGATCATATCAATTAGGCAGCTGCTTTGGCTTGTCTGGTATATTTGTTCACCATTTCTTCTCTACCAAAAGGTTGGTAGTAACTAGGTAGGACCAAAGAGTGGGATTGAAATTTCTTCTTCTCTGAAGACAAGTTAGTAAAAGACAACTTTAGTTCCAGCTATAATATTTGCATTTATTCTTTCCTGGCATTCATTCCTTTACAAATCAGACATTTGGAAGGAAATGAAAGATTAACAGCTTTCTTTAAGATCTGAATGCATCAGTATGACACACTTTCTCAGACAAAACTTAGTCTGAGAATTTTCAGGTCTTTAATTCTCTTATGTTTTTCTCTCTCTCTCACAGTTTGTATTATTGTTAAGTTGTAAACGTGGAAAAAGTATATTTTTTTCAGTTTCAAATTACTATTCACTGGTGAATACTGAACACAATGACACCCCTTTCTGAAGCAGTGTATGTACCTCTTGATACACTTGATAATATTCTGCAAGCAATGCATATTGTTAAAGCACAGTATTCCAGGTTCTTCTACCATGTCACAAAGGGCCCAATTCTTGTACTCCACTGACTTCAGTGGAAAGCTTTTATTGCACTTACATGACACTCCTTATGACTTCAGCAAGTACTTTGGCCTGTTTGAGCTAGCTTCAAGTTTTAACATACAATCCATGAAAACCTGTAGCCTCTCCAAGTTCCTGGGATAAAAAATATTTAAATGTCATCTTTATAAGTTAGTTGTTGCCATACCTAATTCTTCCATCATTGTATGCTGGTGTTCCCCCAACAATGGATTTGATAAAGAATGGTTTGTTTCCAGTATGTTCTTCATAACCTCCTACAATACTGAAGCCAAGACTTCCTGCTGTATTTCTCCGCAATACAATTTCTTTGCAGCTGTACAAATACCTGGAAGAAATTATTTTATTAATGCATGTATCAGTAATGAAGCAAATTTAATTGTTAATGTGCTGTTAAGGATGCCTCTATCTTTTCATACATTAGCAGTATATTTTGAGTACACCAAAAACATGAGAGCTGAAATGATCTTTTTTTGGTGCGTTGTTTTAGTCATACGTTGCTGCTTTGGGTGTCTCGATTTCCACGGGTGGTCATTCCAAAATCACAAATATCTGCCTAGTATTTACTTTAAAATGGCAAAACCATATAGAACCTAAAAAAGGGAAGAACAACAATTTGTTTTAACTGAAAATCACAAAAAAGGAAAATATTTCAAAGGAGATTGGACTTTATTTAATATTGGTAAATTCTACCTTTAAAAAATCTTGAAGCTGTCTGTAGGAGTCATTTTCCTTATTTGCCCTCCTCTAGAGAGAAACCTGCATCAAATCAACTGATCTATACGTAATATGTTGTCTTTTAGGATGTGCTTTGAAAATAAATGAACCATGGAAAAAGGGGGTAGATATCAACTGTAGTACATTTCAGAACCCAGAAGTCTTGGGTGCTTAGTAAGTGACATAGGGAGCTACAGTGTGGAAAAGTGTATTGGACATTCATAGCCCTGGCAGTGAAGTTACAGAGCAATATCAAATGTTAGGAAGACAGATTGTTCTAGTTAAAAGATTAGTGCCGTGGTTTTTGACCTAAAGAGTGAATAACCTTAATCTCCTCTGTATCCTTTGTCTATGAGTTTGGCGTATTTTATACTACAATCCATTTGTTATATTACCTCTCAATGTAATGTACAACCCAAATATACCTACCTGATGCAGTACTGAGGGAGATCAGTATGTTCAGTAAGCGCTTAAGTTGGGCCATGTGTAGTGCTCAGCATGGCTAAATCATCCACTTAGTTTAAAGCCAGGTTTTTTGTTAATTTTGCTAAGGGCTGTTATGAAACTAACACCTTTGAAAATACTGCAGTGTTAGAAGCTGTATTTCTGTTGCAGTTCAAAAGAAGAGTGCTGACATCTTTATTAGCTATGCAGCAATGCTAAATCTGGCCCCAGATATGGATAAAACTTTACCATCCACTCTAAAAGTGGCAGACAAAGCAGACAAAGTCTTGCTATTTAAATGTGAAATGTGGTTTTGAAACAGGCTGGTTAACTTACTATACACACTCTAAGGCAATTACTCGTGTTATCACTATCAAAAAGCATTTTTCATTCTCATTGGGAAACAGCTGGCCCTTTTTCTGAAAAAGGGTAGTATTAAAACTTTAAATACAGAGTATGTGCTTTTTAAAAAGAGGAGCTTAAGGTATATTTTTCTTGTAAAAAAAAAAAAATATGCCTTTGCTGTGTTTCACAGCAGGATTTTACGGTAGTGCTAGATTAGTCCCCTAGGATCTACAAATATTCACCTGCTGCCAGGATGTTAAGCTTAGTATTTGCACAACAATTCACTGGCTGCTAATGTAAAAAGCAGGTGAAACTAGGTTCTTCACCCAAAGGCAGGATCTATTACTTTACCATCTGTGGGGTTTTTAGTGTGCCGAATCACTTAAGAAAAGAAAAACTCCAAAAACAAAACGAGAAAAAACCCTAAGCTCAGGATTTGATGGTACTTACCAAGGTCATGGCCAAATGTTCCCAGGATTTAGCCATTGTTAATATTAATACAGTCTTTTTAGTGACTGACAAGTGGAGTTGGGTAAATTCACTGTATCTGAAAATTACTGTCTGAAGGAGGAAGTTTGACATCTCTGTTAAGGACAATTTTACAGTAAACTTTCCTGTCCATTAAAAAATGTATAGGTTTTCTTTCACTCTCTGTCCTTACTTACTATAATTATAATTACATTCTGTATAATTTTTACAAGGAACTAAGCTGCATGAGTACATTCTGTAAGACTACAAAGTTGTCACCATAGGACTATATATTAACTAAACTAATGTGAGATCTTGTAATATATACATGTTGTCAATGTGACTGATCTATTAAGCATCTAATTTTAGCTTCAGTGTTAGTAACCCAATTGGGTTACTATAAGTTAGAGACTCAAAGTCCTATTAATAACAAATCTGGGTTTCAGATGTCAGACTGCTTTGTGTTCTTGCTCATTGCCCATAGACCCTAGCTAGAATGAGAATCCGATTCAATTTAGTTTCTATATTGCTATTTTTAGCTCCAGCATCTGTTCCCTGTGGATGGATCAGGTAGGTCCACTTCTCTGTAATGCTGTGGATAAGATAACTTTGGCAGTAATTGAACATAACTGTGGACCTCACATTAAGCAGCAATACTATGCAGGACTTACGTTTGCAAAGAAATGCATTGGTGAAATCTTCAGAATTTCTTTTTTTCAAAAAATCGGAGCAAAGCACAGAAACAATACTTTCTAGGCTAAAGTATTTTTTTTTTTTAAGTTTAGTTTACATCCATATGGGACAGCTCATTCTAAATGGGGTTAAGCTAATTTTTGGCTCTTAATAAATGTGGGCTCATTAGTCAGGCAACATTTGTTCTAGATCACAGGGAAAGCATGTTAGTGGTTTGGCATCACTGTGCAATTGATCTCCTGAGAGCAACTGTGCTGCATTTTGAGCGTTTGCTGTTCAATAGGGCAAAAAAAAAAAGGGGCCTACTCACTGTAACAGTTTCCAACCCTAGGGGGACACACATGTATCCCATGATGATTCAGCAACATTTCTCTGTGTGAAGTTACCGTGTTCTGAAAACCTGGCTTGGTTTGTATGGAATCACAAAATGAGGAGTGTTGCAAATTACTTAAGGCAGGAGCTGATTAACTCAGTGGGATGTGTGTGGTTTTGTGCATCATGTGCCTTTAAATGAGCTCCCTGGGCAAAAGACTGTCCTTTCCTGAACATCTGAAAAGCATACAGAGCATTGGGATTCCTACCACATAGCAAAATGGGCACCCATTAGTTATATCTAAGAAAATCCCTAATTGAGATGAAGATGGGGGTAGTCTGTGCGACTCAGGAGACATAGCATGAGAACTGGAGTCTCAGGCACCTGAGAAGACTTCTGTAGCTTAAGCTACATAAACTAGGACACTAATGCTGCTTGGCAGCTGGGTTGTCTCTGCCTCAAAAGGTGCTGGAATGCTCAAGGTGGAGGTTTTATTCCTGGCTTTGAACTAGATATGTTGTGGTTCTTCCTACTTTAGTATCTGCACTTGTTGAGCTGTCCAGATATATCAGAAAACATTACCAAACTTGGAAATACCTGTGTTGCAGTGTACCTAAATGCACTGTTTAGACCAGTGATTCTCAACCAAGGGGTTACAGCACCATGGGGTGCCTTGAGATCCTTTCAAGGGTATTACAGGATAACACAACGTTAGAACTATTAGGTATACACACATGATTCACAGGATAAACCTAGAGATTTCAAATTGGAATTGACAGAATTAAAAACATGCTGACCTGCTCTGGCCTTTCTGAGTTCTTTGCAACAGAATTGTTCTATAATTTTTCTGTAGTCAACAAATGAGTGAGAACTAAAAGCCAGCATTTTCCAAAGGCCTGCCCTGCCAGGGGATGCATTGAGTCTAAAAAGGTTGAGAGCCACTGGTTTAGATATGTCTGTATTTACATATAGTCAACAGAGACAATGCATTTCTTTCATTGCTGTAGCAAAATAGTAGCCATAAAAATGTTACAGCATCATCCACCATCCTTGTTTCTGTAAGAAATGTGATAAGAATCAGTAAGGCTTGATACATGCGCAGAGGTAAGGAAGTAGGTAATGCTGCTATAGTTCTAGTAAGATATTTCCACATGTATGAAATGAAAAGCTTCCTGTATTGCATGAAGGAGAAGTGTCCCGAATGGAGTGACTGAGAATAAGATAGCAACTTCCTCCTGGTTTTAATTTCTTTCTTCCAAATTGAAAAGGAAAACAGCTAAAAAGCACCACAACAAAAGAAAATGACAGGCCAAGTGTCAGCCAGAGCTGCTTAGTGCAGGGGAGCAGAATGAGGATCCTTGAGCTGAAAGGGAAAACTTTCATCTGTGCATTAACCCAGTTAGACCAGAATGACCTGACAAACTGCAGCAGCCCCAGTAGCTGACACTGACAGGCCATGCTGATTGATTATCTGTACATTAACTCCCAGGTGCATGTACCTTTATGCTTATCCAGATTATTTGTATGCAGACACACTAACATACACCTTGGTGACAAGAAGCCTCTACTGAACCTTCCCCAATTGTGGGGCTTAAGGGTACCAATGTTGCTAGATGAAGGTGGGCAAAATATGACCCATGGGCCACATTTAGCCCAACAAGTGATTTTTCATCCAACCCATGGACACCCACCAATTAATTGTACCGTGCCCAGCTCTCGTGCATGGGAGGTCCCTGGCCCTGGCCAGCACGCACAGCTTCTGGACGGGGTCGCTGCTGCCATTGCTGCAGCTGCCAGGGGACCTGCTTGGCTTCCTTGGCCTCCAGCAGCTCCTCATGTCCCTGCTGCAGCACTCACTCCAGACAGCAGGTAGGGAAACTGCAGCTGAGTGGGAATGTGGAGTGTGGGGAGCATGGAGCCCGGAGCCTGCACCCATTGGGGTGGCAGGAGTGTGGAGCTAAGGGGGGGGCAGGGTGTGGGTGTGCGGGATTTGTGGGGTGCAGCAGCAGGCCCTTGGGCCCTGTGCAGCTCCAGCCAGTTCCAGGAGCTGCATGTGGCTGCAAGGAGTGAAGCCAGGCTGGCCTGTCTCTATTGCATGGGGGTCACATCAACTCCTGGGACTTGCATGCCATGGAGGGAAGCCCTGCATGATGGAACTGGCTGCCTTCCCTGCTACTTGCCGCCACGTGCGGTCCACAAGCCCCCCGAGGGCCTGCTGCTGCTGCTACCACCACCAGTGGCAGGGGCTGTGCACAATGAGGGGCGTGTGTGTGTGGGGGGGGGTTCCCCCTCCTCACATCCCACAAACCCCACACCCTGCACACACACCCCCACAACCCTCTCGTACA